CCCCCCACCCTCCCACACCGCCCCAGCCACCAAACATTCACTTAAGGATTGGAGGAATTCAATGGCTTCAGCGTTGGCCTCTGGGAGGGGCAGACTCTCCTTCCGGGGTGGAGGCTGTTGGCCCTTGTCTCTGAGGCCTGTGGAGAGAAGACAGACAACGCCAAGACAGCAGGCCCTGGAGACAAGAGCAGGGGCACCCCAGTCATGGAGCTGATTCCCCCAAGCCCCTCCCCCATGCCCAGTGCACTAGGATGCAGAAGTGGTCTCCCTTTCCCAGCCCCAGCAGCCCTCTTTCCTACCTGTGAAATGAAGTTTGGAGGCCATGGCTGCCCAGTGAGTGTCCAGCTGTTGCTATAGCAACTGAGAGCTACCATCTCTTAAAGGGCCACCAACTCACTTCACCAAACACCCAGACCTTGGAGGAAGTTGTCCCAGGAGCAATAGAGAATCTGTGAGCTCTGAGACTCAGGTCCTGCCTGTGGACTTGTCCAGCAGAGGGAGCATTTAACATTCTTAAAGGGCAGGGAAATAAAACAGGTCACTGGAATAACTTTAGAAGCGTGATACAGTCTCAAAGGCACAGACTCTACTACCTTACAGGAATCTCTACAAGTTTTACTGCAGAAAGTCAAGGACTACAGTCTTAAATATGGATTGAAGCTCAACATTAAGGAAACAAAGATTTTCACCACTGGGCCGATTGGCAGCATCGTGATAGATCACCATCTATCTATCTATTGAGATTGTTGACAGCTTCAGTTTGCTTGGCTCTAAAATCAACACTCTTGGCACCAGCAGCCAGGAAATTAAAAGATGAATTACATTGAGAAAGTCTGCTGTCAGAGAGCTCTACAAAGTACTGAAGAGCAATGGTGTCAGTCTGAAGACTAAGGTGCACCTGACCCAGGCCATAGTCTTTGCAATTGCTGCTATGTGTAAGAGAGCTGGACAATGACTAGGGATGATAGAAGGAGAGTTGATACCTTTGAGCTGTGGTGCTAGAGAAAAGTATTGAATATACCATGGACTGCTAGAACAAACAAGTTCGTCCTGGAGAGAGTGAAGCCAGGCTGCTCCTTGGAGGCAAGGATTCTGAAGCTTTGTCTGACATACTTTGGACATGTTGCAAGGAGGGACCAGTCATTGGAGAGGGACATCATGCTTGGAAGGGTGGAGGGATAGTGCAGGAGAGGAAGAACCTCGACAAGATAGATTGATTCAGTCACTGGGGTAATGAGAACAGGTGTGTTGGAGACAATAAGATTGACACAGGATAGGGCAAGGTTTAGGGTTATTGTACATAGGGTCGCTATGAGTCGCAGGCAACTTGATGGCACATAACAACAACAACCATCACCACCACCACCAATATATAAGTTCCAAGTATTGCTTTCTCATAAGCTCGGTCAAATATTCTGGGATCCCTATTCTTTTGAGAGTTAGCCACAGTTTGCTGTGGTCCACATAGTCAAATGCCTTTGCATAGTTAATGAAACACAGATAGACATTCCTCTGGTATTCCCTGCTTTCAGCCAAGATCCAGGAAACATGGCATGGTTCAAAATTGAGAAGGATGTACGCCAAGGCTATATCCTGTCTTCATACCTTTTCAATCTATATGCAGAACAAATTATCTGGGAGGTTGGGCTCTTTGAGGAGAAATGTGGCATCAGGATTGGAGGAAGACTCATCAGCAATCTGCATTATGCAGATGACATAACCCTGCTTGCTGAAACTGAGGAGGACCTGAAGTGCTTGCTGCAGAAGGTCAAGGACTGAAGCCTTCAAAATGGATTGAAGCTCAGCATCAAGAAAACAAAGATTCTCACCACAGGGCCGATTGGCAGCATCATGATGGAAGGTGAAGAGATAGAGCACAGGATAGAGAAGGGTTTAGAGCTGTTGTACATAAGGTTGCTATAAGTCACAGGCAACTCGGCAGCACATAACAACACAAAAACCAGTATATAAGTTGGAGGGAATATGAACTTCCTAAATCTGTCTCAAAGGAAAACAAGATTTGAGAGACTATTTGTAGATCAGGCAGCTCTGGTGGCCTAGTGGCCTAGGCCTAGTGGTCTAGTGCAGCTGCGCTGTAATCCCAAAGGCATGTGATTTGAAGCCATCAGCTGCTTTGCAAGAGTAGTGTTGTTATGTGCTGTCGAGTCGGTTGTGACTCATAGCGACCTATGTACGACAGCCCTAAACTCTGCTCTGTCCTGTGCCAATCGCACTGTCTCTGACACACCCATCCTGATTATCCCAGTCACTGAATCAATCCACTTCATACAGGGTCATCCCCTCCTGCACTGTCCCTCCACCTTCCCAAGCATGATGTCCCTCTCCAAGGACTGGTTCCACCTTACAACATGTCCAAAGTATGTCAGACGAAGCCCCAGAATCCTTGCCTCCAAGGAGCAGCCCACTTTAACCATCTTCAGGATGAATCTGTTTGTTTTCTTGGCAGTCCATGGTATATTCAATACTCTTCTCCAGCACCACAGCTCAAAGGCATCAATTCTCCTTATATTCTCCCTAGTCATTATCCAACTCTCTGATGCATAACAAGTGATTGCAAAGACTATGGCCTGTTTTGGTACACCTTAGTCTCCAGAGAGACGCCATTGCTCTTCAGCACTTTGGAGAGGTCCCTAACAGCAGACTTTCCCATGGCAATACGTCTTTTAATTTCCTGGCTGTCGGTGCCAAGAGTGTTGACTGTGGAGCCAAGCAGACTAAAGCTGTGAACAATTTTAATCTCTTCACCATCTATCCTGATGCTGCCAATTGGCCCTGTGGTGAGAATCTTTGTCTTCTTGACACTGAGCCTCAGTCCATATTGAA